TAATCTAGCAATCTCTCATGGAAATACCATGTCAATCTGTAGACAATTCCAACTTTGAACCTTTACAGCAGAATAACCATAAATAAATAGTTAAAATGTAAAATAATAGCAAATAAAAAACGGCATGCTTTACTTACGAATGATTTAGTATTAATGTACTTAAAACAACCTATTTAGCTTGATACTGTTGCTGAAAATGTAGCAATTATTTTAAAGTTAATGTTATACTGTTCCATATTATTTTGATCAATACTAAGTAAAAATAATCTCACATTTTAAAATAACTTAACCATTAATTTATACACTATGTGGCACACGAAAATGGAAATTTGAACTAATACAAATGTATTAAAATTTAAACTCTAGTGACTAGAGTTGAAAATTTTGAATTTTGAACAACTGTCATTTTTTACTCAGGCATTCTTTTGAGCTTGAATTTACGGCATCGTAATCTAAAAGTGAAGACCTTTAATTTGATGTGCATATCGACCTATTCTTACGTTAACAATTTTCTTCCGATTCCTAGGGCTGTGCCCCCTGAGGAGAAAGCGTATAATGGCAATGTAAATTAAATGAATCTTTGAACAACTGTCATTTTGCGCAGGATCAACCTTTTGAAGTGCGGTTTGCGGCATTGTATTCTACTAAAAAAAGACCTTTAATTTGATGTGCATATTGACCTATGCTTCCATTTAAGATTTTCTCCCGACTCCTTGTGGGCCGTCCCCCTGAAGAGTTATTGGATCACTGAATATGTGTTAAAATAGAGTTTTATGCCCTGTAACTTTGTACCAAGTATTGTAGCTCTATCTGCATTATTTTTTTTTTAATATTTAACTGTCCAGGGACTTTTTTACCACCCTGTATACTTTCTCATAATAGCTTGTCAACAACCTTTCCTTTGTCACGGGTAAGCGGTGGTAGTAGGCTAATTATGATATTTCTGATATTTCATAAGGAAAGTCACACAAGTTGATAGCTTTTGAATGGTAATTTTTAAAGCAATGGAGGGGTTGTAGGCTACTACTTTGTTTTGAATAAATTATAAGGATCACAACATACAGTAATAGTTTTAATCAAAACCGGCTTTTAATCCAATTTTTATCTTATTTGATGGTTTTTATAAAAAAATAATATAATTTGCAATTAATTTTGAACAGTAATTTTTAGAGCAATCGGAGTTGTACGATTTTGTTTAGAATTGAAAGGTCTATAAAATACCAAATTTGTATCACAATCGTTCAGGCCATTTTTGAGAAAGTATCTTTTTTTAGTGAATTTCCCATATAGGGAATATTAGCGAATTTCCCATATAGGGAATAAGCTATTACTGTACCGTAGTACTCATGGTAAGACCTGGACGCGGGACCGATTTTTTTTCGTTTTGAGGTCCCTAGAGGCCAAAAACACCATCCGTTCAAATTCATATATATATATTTATACATTTAAATGTTTAAACTATTTTTAACTCTAACTTTTTAGTTTAACTCTATTTTAACACATATGTCCGTTAGCACAATAACTCGAGCAAAAATGATCCGATTTTGATGAAATTTGGTACAAACGTGTAAACCTACGTTTATTCGAACGAGTTCACAATCCAGCATGATCGGACCATGGGAACGGGGGTTTACGGGGGGTTTTATGGGGTAAAAATAGGTTTTTCCCATTTTTGACCCAAAAAACATAAAATTTAGCAATTTCTTTCCAAATCATTTTGTAGAGCTTAAAAAACAAATAATTTAGTATATTGAAGCGTTATTATGCGCCTAATGGTTACGGAGAAAATTCCAAAAAATTGTAAATTTAAAATTCCCATGTTATTCTTATGGAGAATAGGTAAACTGTTGTAGTTTGCTTATTTATGAACATATTTTGATCAAATTTGGAAAATGTTTTTATTTCTTACTAACTATTAACATTTTACAAAAAAAAAAACAGTTTTACCCTCCCTGATGCAGCAAACCTAAGTACTTGTTAAACTAATTCTATTTAAATCAAGAATAAATTTTATATTTTTAAGTAGACATTTCAGTGTAAATCCAATCAGTCAAATGGAAATTCGCTTAGTCTGCAGGTTTGCTGCGGCGGGGGTATTGTTATTTTATAGGTTTATTGAGTAAATCACCAAATTAAAATTTCCAAAAAGATCTTGAGATAACAATGATTAGTACCTACAAACCAAATTTCATAAAAATCGGACTACAGGAGTAGTCTGTAGCTCTGTACACATTTACACATAGAGACAGACATCACTTCGAAAACCTCTTTTTTGTTAAGGGGGACTTTTACCACAGACAATAATAATACTTTACCATATACTATGTATATAAGGTGAAAACTAGTACAATTACTTGCTTAGCTATAATGTAATGCTTAAAGTGAGTATATTTAAAAAATCATTTAATGTAATTCGTCTCAACATTTATGTGTGCTAGCTAAATAAAACCTTTTCATAGAATGTTGACATTAAATCCATAATTTTTGTGGTTGCGTATTCTCTCTTAAAATATGCCCTGTAGTTCAGGAAGAATTATGTCAATTTATATTCAATTGAGAACATGTCACATGTCCAAAATTTTAACGAGGGAATCCTTAATTGGCTAGTGAAAAGCAATGTGTGCAGCAAATATCAATTGAGAAACAAACAACTATGTGTCATCGCAAAATGAAAAAGTCTAAGCAATAAAATTCTTCCCTTGATGCACTTAACTATTTCATTATGATCTCAACAGCCACACTGAGAGTTGGTACAACTAACTGCAGCGACCACCATAGCTGAGTGTGCTTTTGTTCCGTTCATCTCCACCTCAATTTCCCTATGTTGACAATGTTGCCTTACAACGAACCATTTATACAGTGCAGGGGATCCTCGTATTTATTTAATTTTACAAGATGAGATGATTAAAGCAACTGATAACTTGTAAACCAAGTGGGTTCTCATGTTTATCTTGTAATTTAAAGGCTGTCATGTGACCTGACGACAAAGTAATTTGTTGACCAAATAGTAGGCTCCCCAATTAAAAAATTAAATTCAAAATAATCTAATTTTAATACTTTCTCTCTGCGTTCAAGAGCAAAGCTCATTTTGCAGGCTTGAGACTGCCAGTGGCCGCATTAAAAGTATTGACCCTCAAAGCCCCAGAGGGAGGGGAGTTTAGGAGGTTGAATACGAGAAGGTTAAAAATACGGACAAAATCAGAAGGCAGAAAATGACATGAGGTAGAAGGGGGTGAGAAGTAAAGAAATCAGGAAAGTTGCATGAAGCGATTGGTCGACTTGAGGAAGGATACAAAGATTAGTCTATGGGATATATGTGAAAGATAGTAAAGAGGTTAAGAATCAGAATGGTAAGTTAGGAGTAGAGGTACGGTCAGAAGCGTAAAGGCAGAATAATAACTGATATGTACGTAAGCAGATAGATATAGGAATTTGTTTGGGAAGAATAGTGGACCAAGTGATTATTTTGCAAAGACCGAGGGAAGGTCATGGTGGAAGACTTTAGTCGCTTCCATCATGATGTAGAGGTGACCTGGGGCCGAGAGTCTAGAATGTTTCAAATTTGAGATAAGATTTGATTCTGCTTCCACAAAATAAACCTTTTCTCGCATTTGAAATATTCATAATGAAATTTGTTTCTAGGTAACGCATAGAATTTACAATTACATGAAGTTAAATCACCTGTTTTCAGTTGCTAAGGAATGTTTTACTTAGTAAGCTTGTAATTATTTGGTGTTTGAAAAGACACATTTTACATTATAGCCTACAAGTGACTTATTTTATTTTGGGTAAAATTACAGGAATTTTAAACCAAAAAGCTAGGTAATGCAGTTCTATTGAGTTTAACCTGTGTAAAATTAGCTGCAAAGAGAAAATAGCTAGCTTTTCTTATGTATTTCTTCAATCCTAATTCACGTTGATTACTAAAAATGCAATAAATGTTAAATTATTTTGTACTCAAAAGACTACTACAACTACAGCATACAAATTACAAAAAAAATACAAGGAATAACCTAAGCTTAGGCAATTTAGAAAACCAACATTGGCATATTTTCTTCTTGAAACATTAGTTATTTTGTGTAACAGTTTGTTTACTAATCATTCTCAGGGCACTGGGTTAATAAGTGAATTTAGACCACTCAACAAAGGTATTTTTTGTATGCTTAACTTTTAATTTTGTTGATTTCTTTGTAATTGTATGTTTAAATATTTTTAAATTATTTGTTTCTAAAAACGGACCAACCTTACAAATTAAAATTAAATAACCTTAACCAATGTGATACATATGCATCCCAAATTTCAAATATCTAAGTAAAACTGTACAAAAATTACTGAGTAATTTGTGGAAAACAGATATTTAGATACACCCATAACCAAGTGGGAGAAATGTAACTCATACCACAGCAACTGATTGATCTTATCCATATTTACCACTCTAACCACTCTAAAATGCTTGGTTGAGGGACATCTGCGTACGGTAATCTTTGGTGCAACCATCCTTTTCTGCAACACATGAAATAAGGATTTCTATAATAATACATTTAGAAGAAATGGTTACCTCCCATCCAGATAAAATCAAAACCACCTTTTTTCCAACACATCTTAAGAATTGTGTATTTTCTTTTAAAGACACTCATTTAGCAACAAGGTGAAAGGGCTGGATCTGTTAGTCGTGTCATAAATAGCTCTCTTGCCAAAGAATTTGGTAAAATGCATTTAGATAGTACGCTACCTTAAATTAGAACTTTATAGGTAGTCCACAAAGAAGTAAGGTACAGAGGGAACATTTAATGGTACACTCAAGTAGTGTCTAGAACTAGTGCTGGTGTCTAGGGCAAAGTCACTGCCCACCTCGCCCTCATGTCTACAACACTCACGGTGGATGAAGACCCTGTGCCCTGTGCGATAGGATAGGAATATCTGAAGGATTAGCAAACTGGGGCTGTTCTAGCTATTAAAATAACTTTTGTAATAATAACATGACTGTGGCTATGCTTCAGACATGCACTGTGTGGTTGGCACACCTGGCTACAGTGAGCTCTGAGGGGGTGGTTGGGGTGGGAGAGGTAGAAGATGTCCTGCCAGACTTCCCCTTGGACGATCCTGGAGGAGCCACAGACAGGATAGACACTGAGGCACAAGGTCCAGCACTGAATGAGTAAGTACTCAAATCGCTTAAGGTGCATTATAAAAAGTACTTCTTGAATATTTAGTAAATGTAAAATAAACTCATCTGAAAACTCTATTAGTATTCCTCAAATCTTGCATAAATAATATCTGGGGATTAAAAAAATGATTTTAGCTTAGTGGTGGAGGTTTTTTGAGATGCATGAATACCACCTCCTTTTTAAGTGTTTATGTTGTAAATTGATGAAATTTGTATATAGCTCCTAGCCATAAAGGAGTTTTTTTCATCCCATACTGCTAATGATCAACTGCTTCCTTTGGTTGCAAATAAACACTTAGTCATAGAGAAGTATTTTTGTGATTTTAGTAATAAAAGGGTATTGTCACCACTGTTACATGTAAATGTTGACACAATATACAGGGCTAGGCAAAAGCCTGGAACCCCCCAGTTAACTTTTTAACGCGTTGCAGTAGGAAGACCAAACTCGGTACATATTTACAACATAAGAAATTGCACATTTTCATTAAAGTTACAACTTTGCCCCATCCCCCAAAATAGGGTATTTTGGGGGCAGCCCCAAATTTTCAAAAGTAAACACCTATCATGCGACCCTTAATTTTAAAGGGCTTCTCAAGACAAATTCAGTGGCGCAAACTAGAGGTCAATATCACACCCTTAATCAAAATGGCAGTCATTTTTAAATATCCCCTATTAACTTTTTAACAGATTATAGCAGGAAAACTAAACTCAGCATACCTTTATAAAAATAGAGAACTCACCTTTTGATCAGCATTAAAATAATTACAATTTTAAAGTTAACTGGAGGTGTCCAGACTTTATCTTATTTGTTCATCTTAAATCATTAAAATGGCTGCCATTTTGATTAGGGGTGTGATATTGACCTCTAGTTTGCGCAATTCGATTCCTCTTGACAACCCATTTAAAATGAGGGGTCACATGATAGGTGTTTACTTTTGAAAATTTGGGGCTGCCCCAAAATACCCCATTTTAGGGGCTGGGGCAAAGTTGTAACTTTGATGAAAAAGTGCAATTTCTTATGTTGTAAATATGTGCCAAGTTTGGTTTTCCTACTGCAACGCGTTAAAAAGTTAACTGGGGGGTTCCAGGCTTTTGCCTAACCCTGTAGTAGACAAGAGGTTTAGTAAAAGGGTACACGTAGGGTCTTCTAAAGAGGCTATTAAATTGAGACTGTAGTGAAGGATAAGTTGAGAGAAAGACTTTTTGAAATAAACTGATGGGATTGAGCCAAATGATAACAAATTGTGTGCGATTAGCACAGGAGCGTCTGCAACAATACATCCATGGTGTACACTGACAGTATGTTACAGACTGGAGGACATAGACCTGTCAGAGCTGCAGGCTACAGAAGGCAGCCGACAGGAGCTGTTGAGGAAGGTGATGGCAGCAGCCATGTCCAAGCCTGGTGCACGCCAGCGACTAGCACAGGTAGGCCTACAATATTTCAAAGCCAGTGGCATTTTGTAATCGAAGTGCTTGATTTGTAAAAGATGAGGTGCCGGATTTGTAACCTATTTAATGTGATTTTATACATATTTATGTACCTTTATGCCAATATTTGTATCTTCCCGCATGAGAAGTACCGGAACTGCATTCCACCGCAATCTGAGGCTAATCGAGCACTGGTAATACTGTATAGATCAATAAGCGCTTTTAATCAAAAGTGGTTCAAACCCCTCAAAATCTTTCTCCACCAAGGTCGGAGAATATGCTAACCAATAAACTTGCTACCCCAAGAATGGTAATGGCTCTTGCTATTCTATTTTAATAAGTAATCAATTCTAGATCAATTCCAGGGAAGGAGTTCCATCAACTTATGGCAAAATAAAAGAAGAACTTTGGTATTGCTCGTAAAATGTAGAATAGGAGGTGGTTTAAAATTTACCACGTACCTTGTTTTATCCTCTTATTGATCTTGATTATTTAGCCCAAAAACAAGGTGTACATAAAGTCCAGTACATGTTTAATATGTTCTGAACGATAACAGGTAAATCAATACAGTAAGATTTTGTACATCAAGTATATCCGTTTCCTGATATATCGTGGGGACGTCCCATGTCCCCACGATATATCAGGACCCATGAGGAGTCAGAAGGAAATCTTGGAATGTAAGCATAGTTTGATATGAACATAAAATGAAAGGTCTTTGTTATACTATGAGATGCTATGAGTGGCTCATTCAATTATATTGGATTTTGATGATAAATTATGGGAACATCTCATCCTTAAATAAAGATGGGATATCTGCTTCAGTATTCCAAAGCCAATTACTTAATCAATATTTAAACCAATCTCTCTGCCCCAGGTGATGCCTATCCTAAGGACCATGTCAGCGACGCAGCGTCTCGCGTTGGCAGGCCTGGTTACCAGTCAGCTGATGGCTCCTCCTGGCTCCCCTCCTCCACCTCCTCTGGTCAACAACACCAACTCCAACGTCACCGACGACCTCATGATCCCCATCAGCATGGATATCGCAGCCATGTTCCGGGGGCTGGGAAGAGACGCTAACGCTGCTAGGAGTACACTGTTTAGAGGAGATGTAAGTTGTATTGGAATAGCTTAGTGTAGAATCACGGGGGAGGAAAATAAAAATAAAAAGGTTCTAATGTTCTAATGGTCTGTTGTGAAATTTCCTGCTGAATTGATTATCGGGATACACATTATAATTAGAAATTACTACATGCAAAGAACAACAGAAACTATTTGCATACACAAAATTGTATAAATGTTCATTTATTTGTTTACTAAGATAAAGTGATCAAGAGTTTTTAGATACTTGGTTTGAAATAAGCTTGAAATGCCTCACAAACATTATCACAATGTATCACAATGCACAAAATACATTGCTGATGCTGATACAAATATTAAATTCCATCTTATATGCAGGTTGTAGAGAAAATAAGGATAACAGTTTAAAGGATAATGTTGAAGAGTTGGTATCAACATTTCTATTTCAGGACATTCCATCTTTTAACCATATTTTAACATTTCATCTTATATGCAGGTTGTAGAGAAAATAAGGATAACAGTTCAAAGGATAAAGTTGAAGAGTTGGTATAGCAACATTTCTATTTAGATTGTTCGATTGTTGTAACTATATCCTAGAAATTTATGATTAGCCATTTCCACGCAAATAATTTCAATTAAACTATATAGGCTACTTAAAACAAATATTACTACTTTGATTTAATTTGATGAATGGATTGATGAATTAATGTTGCATCTTTACTCTCAAACAGCCTTTGAATACCACCTTCCAAGGCTGTTTGAGAGTAAGGATGTAGTTACAACTGAGGATTATGGATTTCAAATTCATGCATAAAAATCTATACAAAACATTCTTATTTCTAACAAAAATAAAACTACAAACAATAAAATAACTAGTAAAAATTTCAATTATATTTCAGCTTTACAAGAGGCATCCTCCCTATAGAAGAAGGCCTGTACAGACACTGAACAGGCGAAACACTGAAGTTCCTGATGATGGTTAGTAATCTATTTTACGAGGGCTGTCTATAAATTAATAGGTCACCAAGCTAACATTGCAACAAAGCAAGCTAGGGGAAGCTAGTACAAATCTGAAACCAGTATTTTATTGGTTACTACATCCACTATGATTCTAGTTGGGTTTGGGTAACAACCATATGTGAGGGTTTAGTAAGGTTTAGTCTCCTCATAGTCACCAAAATGATGTGAGGGATGATGAAATGTGTTCGGTGATTATCTTTGTTATAAAGGTATCAATTTGTGTAGAGTCCTCAGTTAATTGACAGACGTGAATAAAAAAAGTGTTTGAAAGTAGAAAAGTTTGTAATGTGTGGCGGAAAATTGGAGATGATTGGAAATCTTTTCCACTTGCACAGTGTTTAAGGAGTTTCGCGCTTTGTAATCCAAGTTCATCCATTCTTCATTCACGTTTGAATTTTCTTATGTGCATCGTGATGTGACTGAGATATTCAAACTGACAGAGAATGTCTTTGGAATTTCCGAGGACCACAGTAAACCCTAGTAGTCTGAAACATACTGATGAGCAAGTATTCCTCAGCTCTAATCACTGCCTTAGCAGAGAGCAAAGCTGGTCTAGTGGTAAGAGGTCTGTAGTATCATCAGGCTCAAATATCACAAAAAAACACCATTGGATTTCATCTAAGTAATGGCCTTGCCTGAAGTTAAGTAAAAAACAATCCTTAGCTAGAGCCTACTGCCTTAGTGGAAACTGATGAAGCCTGAACAAGCTGCTGGCTTCATGGGACAAATGTGTATGGACTTCTGCAAAATTCCTAAGCCACTTGATGATATAAAAATAAAAACTTTTCTGCAAACTTATCTTTGAACTGGCAACTCAACAGATTGCAATCGGGACATCGTATATCACACAAGTTCTATTTATATCGTTACTATGACAGTAGACAGTAGGGCTACTTATATGTTGGAGCGGACGGAGAACTAGAATATATTCGCTGGATTGGTTTCTAAGTCACATTTATGTTTTTATACCATCCTAAATATTATTACTATGAGCAGTAGCATACGTTTTTAAGGAGTTAACATCACCCTCATTAATTGATATGAGCAGTTCATGTGTATAGTGACAGATTTAGGTTGACGTTTTAAAGAGCAATGCTCTAGGTCTTACCATATTTCAAAAGAGGTAAAATTATTATTTAAACCAAAACTAACTTGGTGTTTAGACATGAAGCCTCCACCACTACCCAGAGTGAAGATACCCAGGAGGCCAGGTGACAGCAAGCTACATATAGGTAGACCCGCACCACCTGTCTTGTATACAGACATGGAGATAGGTGCGGACTGTCAACTATTCTCCGACTCTCTGTGTCTACAAGTAGGGGACTACCCTTTGTGAGTAAGATGCTTAAGAGGTTTTTTTAATTTTTGGTAAGACCCTTGCTATGGTATTTAAAACATGTTTATATCACACAAGTGAAGTGGTGTATGTCACAGGTATCACAAACACTATTGTTTTGTTTACAGGAGTAAACATTTTATTTTATAGTTCATCTAGTGCATGTAACCTGAATTTCGTATTCGATTAAATGTATACTTTGGAAACCGATAATTTTACTCTTTTAGTAAGAAATGAAAGCATGTGAAGCTTTATTTGTAAACTTTCTTGCCTGTTGTCATACGAATCCATACAGTTTTTGGCGTCAACAATGTTGTCAGTTTAAGATTGCTAACAGATGTTTTGCCGTTACCCTACCTACATTGAGGCAGAGTCTCCAGCCTATTCACTAATGATGCCTGTTCAAAGTGAGGCTAAAATGTCTGGCAGGAAACATAGTTGAATCCGAAAACAACTATGAAGCCTGTACTGTATTGGATTGGAAATCGACTGGCCTTTTCTTTACAGTGGTCTAAAGAATCGAGATCTAAGATTTTATTGGAATACTCTCATTAAAATTAACTTTATAAAGCACTTTAAGACCAAAATTTACAAATATATGAAATCAAACTGGAATTCATTATGATAAATCATCCTATTTTGAAATTTGATCTTCTTTAATAGTCATCGATCTGTATTGTTGTAGTAATTAGAGATCGATGATATAATAGTTCATGACTGTTAATCTGGTAGTTTGGTATAGGTTTATGGTTTATGTTAAGAGAATGATCCTTTTGATACATTGTTTGTTTTGAGGAAAAATCTTCTTTTTTTCTTACTTACATTTTTTGCAGGGAGGCGATTTTGAAAAGCATCCAAAGCTCTCCAAACAAAAATGCCTTTGAGGCTCTTCGGATGGACTCAAAACAAGACTTCGGGGGAACTTTTAACGATGGTGGTCTCAAAATGGAAAGGTAGGAAAATAAAATACATACCACTACTTCTACTTCAATTTTATTTAAACTTCACAGTCCATACCTAATATGTTAGAGGTCTCAGTTCACTGGTTAGTTTGATTTATAGTTTAGTAATGAGCAGTTGTCTGTAAAAGAAGGTAGTTGGTCGAAGAAGACTGTCACCTTCTGTTTGAAGTCAGAGCACAGAGAAGTAAGTTACAGAGAAAACTTGATTATGGGACGACCGTATGAGCTCTTTCAGCTCTAGTTGTTGTGCCGGAAATATACTGATGAAGAGCAAGGAAGAACTTGAGTGCCGACCACTGTGCAGAAATTTGTATCACAAAGGGGAAACGGTCTCCCTCACAGTGAACTAAAGAACATGAGGTTGAGGGGAATGGTTTTGGACTGTCCAAGACACCATAGCTACTTTAAGACTACTTAACACTACTGGTAAACACTACTTGAGTAAGTGTGCTCTTGAATGTTTCCTCTATACCTTACTTATGTGGTCAGGCACTTATACTCTCTGGAGGAATCCACAAGGATATTACACCTTTTTCAAGCATTTTCATTGACTATCTTGATGTCTATTTTGATTCCAGCTCATTGAGAGTTCGGTATTTGATAGAGGTAGTGAAAGTTCAAGTAGATAAATGATGACAGGTTAGACCAAATATGCATTATATCATTAAGCACTGTGTTTCAGAAGACAAGGCCAGGCCGAGCCACAGTCAGTATGTAGCTCCAAGGTGGAGATTGCCAGACCTAAGAGAGCCAGAGCTACTAGTGGACAGTGGAAGTATGTTGTCAACACCGGAGACTACACTCAGACATTGAGGCTGGAGATGTGCACGTGAGTTGTTAAACAGCACTAAAATTTCACACAAATTATAACTATATTATTGAAGGGTTGGTTCATGTTGTGATCAAATCATCTAATCTTTTTTTTAAGAGGTGTCCTCTTTTAACCTTGCTTTTGACTCTATATTCAGCAAAGAGTAAAAGAGTGACTCATGCAGATAAAATTTAATGACGGGCAACAAGACACAACCTCACATCAATGCCTTGGATCCCACTACCGAATGAGCCATCGACTCAACATATTAAATGTTTTTTAAGCCACCACTATAAAGTTAAGTTTATCCTGGCTCTTGAGTAAGTGTTCATCTTTTTCTTCTTGTTAGTGTCTTCGCCACTGACTTTTTTATGAAGTAAGCAAAATGCTTTTAATAGAAAACAGTCAAAACTCAATAAAATTTTGTGTACCTATATGCCGAGGACCAATCCCATATCTCTCGTACCAAAGATTAAGACTCTATTTAGGTGTGGGTTTCCATTTAAACAGGTTTCAGAGATACTTGGGGTAAGAACATTCTTACAGTTATGTGTAAAGGAAATTTTGGCAGACTAGGTGACTAGGTACGTGTTCACGAAAGCGCGCCGTTGTGGCAGCCTTCCTCCACCCCCATGGGGGACCCAGCGGATTTTAGCCAATTCATCGAATAGAGCGCGAAGATGTTACCTCGCTCCTAGCCTTCAATAACAAAGATTAAGTACAATAATGTTTATATATTCGTAATCTGCATTAAATGCAGAATGTAATGGTATAAATAAATTTTACTTTTGATTTGAAATAGAATTTCCATAGTTAAAAAGAGTCAACAATTTCTACATTATGACATGAAAAAGTTTGTATGCGAGGAAGTATTTTATTTTTGGGCCAGAAGAAAACTTTAAGCGACAAAGTTGTAGTTTAAGAGATGAGTTTTAACATGTGATCGAGCAATTTACAATTAAGTGTGTAGTTTGTTTGTAGTATAGTGATTAATAGCGCGACGAGATTGATTTCATGTCGCACCAACCTCCTCAGTCCAGCAACTCTTTATGTTTTTGCTACTCGATCATTGTAAAGCTGAATAAATGTTGATCTTTTTTAATAGTTGATATAAGTTAAAGAATACAACTAACTATTCTATTGATGTGATCATATATTCCATTTATTTGCAGAAATATCAATACCAGTACCGGGCTGCCGCCCATGAATGAAACTTGTAGGGACACTGTTTTACAAAACCGCTTGTTTCTCCAATGCTAGGAACATTATGAATGAATGTAACAAAAATAAGTTGGGTGTAAGGCAGAGATTGAAGAAATTGGTTTTGTTTCTTCAACATGTAATGCAACCTTTGTACTATATTTAAGCACGGTTGTGGGCAGTAAAACTTCTTAGAAGTACTTTTTAGTATTATGAACCAAACCCTTTTCTCTTATGTGTGATGATATTAATTTTAAATCATATACAGAACAACAATGGCACTCAAAACACTTTTTACTAATTGTGTCTTTGCAAAATTATACAAATATTCATATTATCAAAGGAACACGAACCTAACAGTTCGATTTGTAAATTTATTATTCAATTTTTGTTATTGCCTTACGTTAAATACTTCCTAGGTTTAGTATTTATGACCTCATCAATTATTTGCTCTGAACCTTAATATTTGAAATTTCTCATTAATTACCAAACAAAGCAGATAGTAGACGATTCCTTGTTACAACCATCGATGTATATAACCTAACTGGATCGCGCCCTGCCATGAGAGTACAGCGCTGAAAACGAGCCGGCGCACAGTAGGCTCCCCCCACCACCAGTGGGCAACCACGCGGTGCCGGCGACTGTCTCGTGCGTTGACTTCTGCATGTGTGCACTGTTTACATCCCATGTAATCACTGTCGTACTCGTGATGTTAGTGGTGGTATTTTTTGTTATGTCTAATGAAAGTTCTGCATCATGCCGCAGAGGTGTGTCGCATTCAACTGCAACAAAAGTGCCCAAAAAGGAAATTGACCAATTATTTGACATTTTCAACAGTAGAGACCCGTTTGGGAAGAATTTCAAATCCCCCATAAAGAAAGAAAACCTTATGTACATTAATATGATCTTAGACAAAAGTTTAAACTATTTAAAAAGTTTAAAAATTGAAAACGTCCCCATCTTAGAACACCCTAGAAAGACATTTGCTCTTGGTTTCATTACTAACATCAACACAATTCGCATTTTAATTGATAAACGATTAACTGATCTCAAATTTAATTACACTAGTGTACCTGTTGCTCGAATTCGAGCAATTGCGAAGCATTACAGGCGACTCAAAGATTATGGAAATACTCACGATCTACACAACAGTTAGATATAATCAAAATCTTTTGTAAATATCTTATCTTTTTTCAAAAAGCCGATCTTGTTTTTTCCGTGTTTTTAGTTTAAAAAAACATTATTTCTATTTCTTCTACTTGGTTGTGTTCTATGACTTTTTCTATGTTTCCATTGTTTGGAAATCGGTTATTTCAATGATTGCTCAAGAAATGTAGCACAGTGTTAATTCAGTTTGATTTTTAGCCTGTATCAAATTGTCCAGGATTTCTCGCTCTTTTCCATTGTAATAATTACACCAACCCAAGTTTCGTCTACAGATGCAATATGCCAAAGAATATCACCTACGTACAATCTCCAATAAGTGGTAAAAAAGGCAGAAGCCAACCCATACAATAGATATAAGTTAACTACATAAGAAATCATTTTAAAAGTTACTGTGATATTAGGATTTTCCACTGATTTTGTAATAAGAACATAATATTGCAAAACATGACACGATGCAGGAGAAAATCAATTTTAAAATCAGAAAAATCCATATTGCAAATACAGTACTGTACTTCATTTTGACAAATTCAATAATTCACAATTTAAATATTAACAGCTGTTGCATTAAAAAGTAGTGTAGAATTATGCATATGGTCGTAATGTAAACAAATCTGAAGAGGCAACTTTAAAGGCTTCTGGGGCAGAGCCCCAAGGGAATTTACCTCTTTCCTCTTTTGATGGCTCATCTACAGACCAAGACCTTTCTTTAGAGACCCCTACCAAGTTTCTACGCCCAGCCGTTCTGTCAAATTAGCTGTGACAAAAACCCCATTTTCCTCCATAAGAATAACATGGGATGGGAATTTAAAGGCCACGGGGGCAGAGCCCCAAGGGAATTCACCATGTTTCTCTTTTGATGGCTCATCTACAGACCAAGACCTTTCTTTAGACACCTCTACCGAGTTTCTACGCCCAGCCGTTCTCTCAAAATAGCTGTGACAAAGAAAAACAGTTTCAAATTAATATATAGACTAGTAGAACCCCGTCGAAATCGACGGTTAATCTTGATGTTTTATGTAAATTCAGCTAACTGCGATAGATAGAGTGAAGTCAGTAAAATCTTAGTTAAATGAAGGGAGGATAAACATAATAATAAGTATGACGATTGTGTTCCCTAAAAAACGTGATTGATGAATTCGATTAACACAATATTTCCTATCTTTTTATCGGCTTTAGGTTGCCCAAAAGGTTTTTTAGGAATCTTATAATTGTTTGTTCATGAGTTTGTTTCATGTCAAAGCCACTTTCACTATATGGGAGAATGAGTTCATATAATTAGTGTATCATGTTACTTAAAGAGTTAATATTTATTACTAACAGCTAATTCAATCTGTTTTAGGAAAATCATTTCAGGTCATAAAAATGCAGAATTTTATCAGCATATTAAATCTGTTTTTTTTTGTATTCGTTAAAATACCTGATTCTCTAGAAAGCAGTAAGATTCTTACTTCGATCTAAGCAATTTTAATTCCTTCTCTTGCCACATCGACCCATGTATTTAATCATCCTGTTCTTACTTGATAATAAGTAACTTATGGGATAGTTTCACCTTGGCCAGATCAATAACATAAAGCTGTGCATGTATTTCGTGGATGGAATGAACTATAATTGTAGGAAATTTGATCACAAATCTTGAACATTTGCGGAACCAAATCCAAAACCTAGTCCAACCTTGGTAACAAATCATGCAAATGCGATTAGATGTGATGACACTGTTGTGTTTCCGAATGCTTTGTAGCCTATGTAGAGAGGTTTAGATGCGTTGTTACATGTGTACAGTAAAAAATACATGTTAAAACCCTGTACACATTTTTTTTAAATACCTGAATTGACATTAGTTCACCTACTTCACCAAAACCATAGATTAAAACATACTCCGTAGTTAGTCTATTCCAAAACTTGAACACAGCTCTCATCCTCAACGTACTCGTCTATGACACAATTTAAACCCGATTGTCGAAAACTTTTATACCAATAAATGAATTACTGGTGTTCTTTCTTGAATTCAAAAATAAATGGTAATTGAAAGTAGGGAAAAAAGGCAAGTGCCAACCTTACAATATATTATAAGCTAACCCTAGTGTAAGAGATTAATATATATCAATACAAAAATTGTATATTGATACGTATTGATACGTATGTGTATTTGGGCCAATACACATCAATACACATCAATACATATCAATACAAGTAAATAGGATCCGAGTCATTAGCTTATTTGAAAATAATTTGTAGCTTGTTAAAAAACCATTTTCAATTTGTTTCAAAACATTAAATAATATCAACTATGCACTAAAAATAAAATAAAAATTAAAAAGTAAAAAATTCTTGGCAAAAAGTTCAGCGAGTTCCCGTGATATGAACGACTCCAGCATGGAAGCCGGTTGTCTTAGCCATTACACCATGAACGCTTCATGTTCAGACTGAGTAATGATAGCCATTTTGAATGCAAGAAGCTGTGTTAGGCCTCATAATTTAACTTGAAAAAGATTTTCAATGGCATTTGTGTCATTTCAAGCATGTACCTATATGCTTTAACATGTTTCAAAACTGTTTTATTACCAGTTCAAACTGTTTTCTTGCTACTTGGGTGATATGAATAGTGTCAATACAATTTATTTTTATTGATTTCTAGAAATAAGGAATTCAAT